TTGAAAGCGTGTTTATGAGTGAGGAGACAACGAGTGTACTAAGTGAAGTAGAAACTCCGAAAGAAGAGGAAAGAGGTAGCGAGATAAGTATAGATGAAATAATGAAAGCAATGAAAAGCATGAAAGCAGGTAAGGCTGCCGGATATGATACAGTTTCACTCGAAATGCTAAGGGCTGGAGAGGAAGTGGTGGCAGGCCTGCTGCACACCTTGTTTAATTTATGCTGGGAACTGAAGCGGGTACCGGTAGACTGGTGCAAAGCCGTGATAGTCCCAGTGTATAAAGGAAAAGGGTCGCAGCAGGACTGTAAAAACTACCGTGGCATCAGCCTTCTTAGCATTGTGGGAAAACTGTATGCTAAAGTACTGATTGAAAGGGTCATGAAAGAAACTGATGTAAAAATTTGGGATGTGCAAGCGGGATTTAGAAAGGGAATGGGATGTACAGATCAAGTCTTTTCCATGCGCATGATCGCGGAGAAGTTTTTGGCCAAAAACCAAAAGGTTTTTTGTGCGTTTATGGACTTGGAAAAGGCCTATGACAGAGTTGATAGGGATGTGCTATGGCAAACACTGAAATCATTTGGGTTGAGCGCAGGCTTGATACAGGCATTGGAGTCTCTTTATAGGGATTCTAGTGCTTGTGTTAGGATTAACGGGGTCTACTCGGACTGGTTTGACATCCATAAAGGTGTCAGACAGGGCTGTGTGGCTTCCCCGTGGCTGTTCAACCTATTTATGGACAGTTGTTTGCAAAATTTGAAGTTATCCTTGCGTCGTCGGCGGCCGAGTTGCAAATGATGGTCACATTAATGAACAGATCATTAAAAGAAAGGGGTATGAAAGTGAACGCAAGTAAGACGAAGGTTATGGTTTTTGAAAGAGAAGAAAGTAAAACGATTTGTGAAATAAGAATAGAAGGGGAGTTGATCGAGCAAGTAGACGAGTTTGTATATTTGGGCTGCGTATTTAGCAGGGATGGGAGATATGATAAGGATATAGAACGACGAGTGAATGCGGGAAATAGAGTAAATGGGGCCCTACACTATATTGTGAAGAGTCAAAATGTGTCGAAAAAGGCACGTATGGCAATTCACAATGCTGTGTTGGTCCCTACTTTAACGTATGGTAGTGAAAGTTGGGTGTGGCAGAAGAAGCACGAGAGTAGAATGAACGCAGTAGAAATGCGGTCGTTAAGGAGTATGTTAGGGCTGAATCTGAATGACAGGGTAAGAAATTGTGTAATAAGAGAAGAGTGTGGTTTGCAAGATGATGTTGTGACCAGGATTAAGAAAGGAATGCTTCGGTGGTTTGGTCTTGTGGAAAGAATGGATGAGAAAAGACTGACAAAGAAAATTTATGTTGCAGAAGTGAATGGCAGAGTCGGAAAGGGACGTCCTAGGCGAAAATTTATCGACCAAATTGGCGATTTATTAAAAACGGGCCAAATTAGGAGTACCCTTAACCGACGAGCATGTATGCGTAGGTGTATGGATGTGAAGGAGGCGAGAAAGGTGTGTCAGGATCGTGCCAAATGGAAGTCTGTAGTCTCTGCCTACCCCTCTGGGTGACAGGCGTGAGTGTTTATGTATGTATATGTATATACAGTATGTCCGGTCACGGACTAGCGATATTTTAGGTACTTATAATACAGCTATTTTAATATAAAAATACACTACACACTGAGGTCTAATCCCCTCCCCCCTCTATTTGGCAGCCATTTTGTTTTTTTTTCTTGAGATATTCTCTACGCGTTTACGAAAAAAGTCATATCTCTGAAAGTTTTAGTCTTACTGAGATAAAAATTAACTCATTCGGAGGCCAATAATATTGTTTATCGTTTACATTATCAAAATTTTTGTTGACATACCTACTTCTAACTTTGAAGAAAAAATATTAACATCAAATAAATATCAAAAAAAATGCTAATCGGTAAATTATTGTAAATTACTGCAAATACAACCCCGTTTACCCTTCTTATTTTTATACTAGATCGACAGATTTTGAGTTAAGCTACAATGCAACATAAAGTTTACAGCTGTATGTTTATGACTTTAAGAATTATTGTTGTTTGAACATGGCGTATGCCCAAACACAAAAGGCCTTTGTTAAGTGACAACTGGTACTGCCTGCCTAGGAGTAATAGTGTTCTGTGCTGCCTGCTCTCAAATTATACTACTTATAAATGATGATTCTGTTTCTCTGATCTCTAATTCATCATCTCTAATTCATCGAAAATCTATCCTCAATCTCTAAAAACTAGATTGTACAACCAGTGCGTGTTGCCAGTGATGACTTACGGATCTGAGACGTGGTCCTTCACTGCTGGCCGTATGAGGACGCTTAAGGTCGCTCAGCGAGCTATGGAGAGGGCTATGCTTGGAGTTTCTCTGCGTGATAGACTCAGAAATGAGGATATCCGCAGTAAAACCAGAGTGATCGACATAGCCCAACGGATTAGTAAGCTGAAGTGGCAATGGGCCGGCCATATAGCTCGAAGAACCGATAACCGATGGGGAAGAAAGGTTCTCGAGTGGCAGCCTCGTACCGGTAGGCGTAGTGTAGGGCGACCCCCCACTAGATGGAGTGACGACCTGGTAAGACATGCAGGAAGTCGATGGATGCAGGTGGCTCAGGACCGTGCTTTGTGGCATTACTTGGGGGAGGCCTATGTTCAGCAGTGGACTTGTGAAGGGCTGTAATGATGATGATGATGATGAATTCATCGAAGATCATAAGTAATCTCAGATTACTATTACTCCTAGGCAAGCAGTGCCAGTTGTCATTTAACAAAGGCCTTTTGTGTTTGCGCATATGCTATGTTCAAACAACAATAATTTTTAAAGTAATTAAGATACAGCTGTAAACTTTATGTCGTATTGTAGCTTAACTCAAAATCTGTCGATCTAGTATGAAAATAAAAAGAGTGAACGGGATTGTTTTTGCAGTAATTTACAATAATTTGCCGATTAGCATATTTTTTTGATATTTATTTGAAATTAAATTTTTTTTCTTCAAAGTTACAAGTATGACAACAAAAATTTTGATAATGTAAACGATAAACAATATTATTGGCCTCCGAATGAGTTAATTTTTATCTCAGTAAGACTAAAACTTTGAGAGATATGACTTTTTTCGTAAACGCGTAGAGAATATCTCAAGAAAAAAAACAAAATGGCTGCCAAATAGAGGGGGAGGGGATTAGACCTCAGTGTGTAGTGTATTTTTATATTAAAATAGCTGTATTGTAAGTACCTAAAATATCGCTAGGCCGAGACCGGACACACTGTATATACATATACATACATAAACACTCACGCCTGTCACCCAGAGGGGTAGGCAGAGACTATACATATACACACACACACGAGAGTAGAATAAATGCAGTAGAAATGCGGTTGCTAAGGAATATGTTAGGGGTGAATCTGAGTGAAAGGGTGAGAAACTGTGTGATAAAAGAAGAGTGTGGTTTGCAAGATGATGCGGTGACCAGGATTAAGAAAGGAATGCTTCGGTGGTTTGGTCATGTAGAAAGGATGAATGAGGAAAGACTGACAAAGCAAATATATGTTGCAGAAGTGAATGGAAGAGTCGGAAAGGGACGTCCTAGGCGGAAGTTTGTCGACCAAATTGGCGATATACTAAAAATGGGCCAAATTAAGAGTACCCTTAACCGACGAGCATGTATGCGTAGGTATATGGATGTGGAAGAGACGAGAAAGGTATGTCAGGATCGTGCTAAATGGAAGTCTGTAGGCTCTGCCTACCCCTCTGGGTGACAGGCGTGAGTGTTTATGTAATATTATATATTTATACTATAGAGCGGACATTGGTTACATTCGCATACAAAAACTGTGAGCGTGCTCACAGGCCCTCTAGCGAAAAATAGCAATACTACGCTGAATATTTATTTGGAAAACATTTTAACTATTTCCTATTTGGTGACGCTTCTAAATATAAGGTAAAAATCAGTTTTATGCATGTCGTCAATTACTAACATATTTGTAAATAAATAGTGGCGTTACTGGATAACAGAGGACACTTATTACAATAATTTTTCTTTCGTATAGTACAATCTACCAAAAATAACAAAATTTAAAGATAATTGAGTAAATATACATTATTCTTAGAACAATAAACCGAAATCATGTTAATTTTTTGCTCCATATCGTGAGTTACTATACGAGTAGGTACCTTAATGCACAACCAGGCATATTTTCTTTAAAAATATTTTTTAAATTTATGAAACGAATGCGTCTTGCCCTTTCGGTGATGTCACATATACTAAATGACAAACATCGGAGAAATATCCTATAGGACAAAAGTTACAGACGACAATTTTGTTGCTGATGTCCGGTCTATTACTACTACATACTTAAATGTCTTTGCTTGTAGGCCATACAAATACTCGGTTCCGCGCGGGTTTCGAACCTGCGGCCTTCAGCGCTATAACTCATTGCTAAGCTACTGCACCACGGAGCAGCTTAGCCATGAGTTATAGAAAATATTAAAAAACTGCGGTTGTCAACCCGCTAAATCTCCCCCTATGAGGCAATGTATAGACATGTGTCGACTTTCGTTCGACATCAGTTGCGCAGATACTAATCTCTGTATCGGGCATACAGGACATTGTCAGCGGCATCTTCCAGATGTCATCATACGTTGCAACTATAAAGCCGGTTGCAGACCGAAAACTAAGCTATGCCAAGGCTAAACTAAGCTATGCCAAGCAAGCTAGGCTAAGCTAAGCTAGAAATAAATAGCGTGCACACCAACAGCTAAGCCAAAGCTCAATCAGTGTTGCGTAGTTCAATTAGACGGACGTCGCTCGCCATGAATATAATCGATGAAGAAAGTTCCGATACGTTACACATAGAAAAAGAAGATTAATACTGACTTATTATTATTTAAGAAAAAGACGTTCCAGATCTTGGATATGTCAACACATTCAATCTCGGCACACAAGTGGAGAGTTTAGAACTTTATTTTATGAGTTAGATGATGAACGTTTTCAGTTATTATCGTGTTACAAGAGTTCAGTTTTATGATTTGTTATCATTGATTATCGGAGATATTACTAAACAAGATACTAACTATCGGAAGGATATAACGCAAAAAGAAAGATTAGCTATTTGTTTGAGGTAAGCAAAACAATTTTAATTAAACCAATTTTTTATTGGTAAATGACAAAAGGTTACATTACAAATTCTCTAAGCTATCGTTTGAGCTGGTGTCGAGAAGCTAGTTGATGATGAGTACCCATATTGATAAGTCTGCCTAGACAAATAACTTTCATAATTTTCCTCTGCTTCGTTTACAATTTGAAAAATCTTTTTTTTTAACATCTCTTTGTATCCAATCGAGAAGCTTTTTAGTTGACTCGCACATACTGTCAAAAAACAAATTTCACGGATGTTTGTGTTCCTCCGCCTCTTTCGCCTCCTCAGCCTTCCGTTTCTCTCTTTGCTGACATCGTTTCATAAAATAGTTACCGACATCCTGAAGTAAGTCGCGTAATGATGAGCCATCGCCAACTTTTCTTTTTTTATCCTTGGTGCTTCGGAAGAGTTTTCATCATCATCATTCGGAATTTCTTCGAAAATCTCAGTACTTTGATTATGGGTTGATGCACCGAGCAAAATACTTTGACTTTCAGTTGATGTACTGGGCAAAGTATTTTGACTTTCGATCGATGTACCGGGCAATGTATTTTGATCATCAATTGATGCACCAAGCAAAATACTTTGACTTTGGGTTGATGTACTGGCCAATGTATTTTTATTATTAATTGATACGTTAGCGGTTCTCTAACGGTTTTTCATGTGGGGTAAAAGAAATTCGAGTAACTCGGCATATTTCCAGTTATTCGTCGGTAAAGCAGCCTGACCACTTGTACTGGCTTTCATCCTTTTGAGTGACTCTCGATGACTATCACGTAACTTTTTCCACTCATTCTTCGCAGTTTTCACTGTAACAACCTACCAAGTCAAACTTAGTAATAAATATTTATATGTTTCAGGTTTTTAGCTACTGGTGACTCCTTTATAACAACTGAATATAATTACAGAGTGGGTAATAACACAGTTTCTTTGATTTTGAAAGATGTGTGCAATGCACTTTGGATTCATTTGCAACCAATATATATGTTACCGACAGAAAGTGAATGGGAAGCAATTGCAGAAGACTTCAATGATAAATGGCAATTTCCTAACTGCCTTGGATGGGAAGCATATCTCAATAAAATTCCCTCCACATGCGAGTTCTAATTATTTTAATTATAAAAAAAATTTATTCTGTCGTCCTTCTCGCAGTCGTTGATGCGAACAAAAGATTTATTATAATAGACGTTGGTTCAATGGGCCGATTTAGCGACGGAGGTATTTTTGCAGATAGCACATTTGGCTACAAATTACAAAACGGGCATCTAAACTTACCTAATCATAAACCTTTAACACCTGATGGCGATCCAACACCTTTTGTATTTATAGGTTATCAAGCATTCCCATTACAAAAACACTTTATGAGACCGTACCCACGGAGTGTTTAGATAACAGAGCATAAAACACCTTTAACTATCGTCTCAGTAGAGCACGAAATGTAGTATAAAAAGGGGTTCGGTATATAGTCAGCACGATTTCGTGTGTTTCGTCGACCATTCGAATGTCAATTAGAACAAGTGGACGTCATTACAAAGACTACCTGTATCTTGCACAATTATTTAATGTCTTCAAGAACGACAACTAGTAACGCAAATACCGTCAATATTGAAGAACAGCAAACTTTAAGATCGGTACAATACGACAACTTACGAGCAACTAGAGAAGTATTTCGTGTCAGAGAATCCTTTTGTAATTATTTTAATAATATAAACTAGATTAAACTTTAAATAAATTCTGGACTAAGTTTGTGGTATAATCGTTTAAGCAAGCATTTTTTTTAACTTCGTTTACATATTTTATTATCCTAAACGTATCTTTTTTCAAACAAAAAAAGAATTATTAAAATCGGTTCTCGCAATCCAAAATTACCACCGAAAACCTCTGGCACGTCTATGTATTAATTAGTAACCCAATTCCCCGAGAGATGGCGCTGTAGGTACTTATTACATTGGGTCGGTTATTATCGAATTGTTCGGTTGGTCTCTCCTTGGCACCACCTGCCGTGGAGCGTGCAATGTTGCACGCTCCATGTTCGCGCACGTACCCACTACCGGGAGCAGTTGCAGGAGCGCGGAGCGCTGCTGGAGCGCGAATATAATGGATACCCACCTTTAAACTCATAAGTGGGAACAATTATTGTGACGGACGGGAAACTACGGAACCCTACACTGAGCGTGGCCCGACACGCTCTTGGCCGGTTTTTAATTAAGTTGTGATAGTCCTTTGATTGTGTGTTCCATAGCATAGGAAATTGTTTAAGAGTTTCAATAAATTGCTCCATAATCGCTACTAAACGACCGTGCGTACAACAAAGAACACTGGACAGCACTGGCGAAGGATGTGCAAAGGGTGTGCGGGGTAGCGGGAGGGGCTTACCTTAGCTCATGTAGCTGCGCGTCGGCATACACAAATAACTTAGCTTCGCATATTTTAGTTAGCTTAGTTCGCATAGTTTGCGGTCTGCACACAAGTATGGAAAACTGCGTCAGCTATGCGAGCTAAGCTAAACTAACTTAGCTTAGCTCTTGGTCTGCAACCCGTATAATGGAGGCTGTTCATCATAATTACAGCTTTTCACAAGTCCACTGCTGAACAAAGGCCTCCTCAAAGAACGCCACAAATCACGGTCTTTAGCCACCTGTGTCCATCGACTTCCTGCATGTCTTATCAAGTAGCCCTACACTTCGCCTGCCGGCACGAGGCTGCCACTTGAAAACCTTTCTTCCCCATCGGTTGTAGATTCTGCTAGCTAATGGCCGGCTCATTGCCACTTCAGCTAACTAATCCGTTGGGCTATTATGTCAATTACTTTGGTTCACCAGCAGATATCTTAATTTTTAAGTTTATCACGCATAGGAACCCTGAGCTTAGCCCTCTCCATACCTCTAGGTTGAAGTTGAACATATTTAGTCGGCTTATTTGTACCAGGTAGGCATACTCGTCAACAACTTCAAGCTTAGTGCTACCAACAACTACCGACAGGTGTGACATGGACGTTGCACATTATCTTTGTTTTGTCCATCTTCTTTTTAAGACATATCCGTTGGGAGGCACTGTTGAGGTTATCGGGCATAGTGCTTAGGTCCATGTTTTTATGTGATAGAACTACGCTGTGGCGTATAGGTTGTTGCACGAACGGATACGGATACGTTCTCTCGTATGTAATCAAGAATTTTTCGGTTTGTACACATTAAAAGACGAAAGTTTTCATATTATTTATTTTTATATATTATCTTAATCCCTGCAGGGATGTACAACCTTTTAGTACCAGGGCATACAATTCTGTCCACATACAATCCTAGCTGGTATGTTCCATACTTAACTATAATAACACGAAGAATAGTAATATAAATTTGATGAAATGTCAAAACAGAAATCCAAATCATTTCGACAATAATAAACTTTCGTGTATTTAAGACAAGTTTCGAGTACTTACTCTTTATATTGTATTGTAAATATACTAGATTTATACATTTCCAAAAAATTTCACACAAATCGTTCACTATGACATTTCGATCATATAATTAACGTATTTCTTATCTATTTTGTGTGCAAAACACATACATATTACTTAGATATATCTTAATAATTATTTTCCTAATTCTACAAACAGTATTATAATTTTCATACATTCAGTCCTTAATTTCCATCTCCAAGAGTCCATAACGAATATATTATCTTTAAGTTTTTATTACCATCTCAATACATGTTTAATGAATATTATTATTATATTCAATAATTACAATATCAATAGACATTCAATACACAAAAATGCATCACTTTTACGTATTAAACTCCACTACAAGAAAAGAGCCTACTTCTCTTTTAAAAGGCCGGCAACGCATCTGCAATTCCCCTGGTGTTGCAATTGTTCATGTATTTACTTACCATCAGGTGAGCCGTATGCTCGTTTGCAGGGGGCAAACGAGCATACGGCAAATATATATATATATATATATATATATATATAAAAAACTTCAAACCATTATTTGAATGACAAAACAGAAAACTCAAAACTCCTACTATCCATATCCATGTTGCATCCATTAACAATCATTTTGTGGCTTATTGAAGTAATAAATATTGTTACGCGCTAAAATCGGCACACTAGCGCCATCTAGTGTCAGAAACGAGAGCGAGGGGAGCGTTGCAGAGAATGACATCACAACCGACAGCGCCATCCGAAGAAACTAAGTTTCTAGAAAATCTATACTCGAATTCTCGGTACCTTACGCGTGTTTGCTTGAACATTCCGGATATTTTACTAATTTAAATAAATAGGTGGCGCAGGATGCGATCGGGGCAGTGTTGATTTGACGAAACAAGCGAAGCTTCGGAGCGAAATTAAGTGAATTAGTGTGTTTAATTATTAGTGTTTTAACTTTAATTTGTGTAAAGTAAATTAAAGTGTTAATTTAGGTAATTTTATCGGCAATTTTTATTGTCACGAACCTCAAGCTCGTAACAATTTGGTGTCAGAAGTGGGATAAAATAATGCCGATTTTACCTAAGGAGGAAACGGAGGGTGTCCGTACCCGCAGTCAACTCCAGCAGGAGACGGACCAGAGGAGATTTGGTGGTGCAACGCCGCAGATGTCTGAGGGCCAGCCGCCGGCCACGGAAGCCGGTCCGTCAGCAGCTTCTACGTCTGTGGCACCTGACTTAGGTGCTCTGATGGTGATGCTGCAGCAGCTGCGGGGCGGACAGGAGGAACAGGCCCGTCAGTTGAAAGAGCAGCAGGAGGAACAGGCCCGCCGACACGAGGAACAGATGCTCCTCATGAAGGACCTTCACGCTACCTTCGGGAAGGAGATAAAGGAGGTGAAGGATAGGGTTGCCCACCATGACAACCGCCTGTCGGAAGCTAAAAACCGAATCGAGAAAGCTGAAACCCGAATCGACCAAGTAAACAATCGGGTTGACAACGTAATGGCTGACATGAAGAAATCACTGGACGAACTCAAACTTGGAGATGGAACTACAGCTCCCGTAGTAGCTACAACACCTTCGCTACGTGGGTTCAAGGTGCCACCGTTCGACGGTACCTCTTCCTGGTCAGCCTACAAAATCCAGTTCGAGGCTGTTATGAAGGCGAACGGCTGGAATAAGAGTCAGGCCATGACTGCTCTCACACTAGGCCTGCGTGACCAGGCCTTAACAGTTCTGGAAGCTCTCGGTGAGGAAGTGACTTACGAGCAACTCCTTGAGGCATTGGAGGCGAGATATGGCGACGCTCACCTGGAAAACGTCTTTCGTGCGCAGCTTAAAGATCGTGTGCAGCGCATCAACGAAAACCTGCAGCAGTGGGCTCTAGAAGTGGAGAAGCTGGTGCGAAAAGCATACCGGTCTGTACCTGCGCTCATTGAAGGGAACCTGGTGCAGACATTCATCGACGGCATCCGCGACCTTGAAGTCAGAGCTGCTGTGAGGCTCGGGCACCACGACACGCTTAAGAACGCCTTGGCCCATGCACTGGAAGTGGAAGCCGTGCGGCAGGATCATCGTTCCCATCGCATCAGGGAGGTTGCAGCAGCTACAGTTCGCGACCGCAACAAAGGATACAGCCCAAGGTGCTATGGCTGTGGGGAAAAGGGCCATCTTCGATCCAGCTGCCCTAAGCGAACCGCAGAAAAGGAAAGTGAACGATATCAGGAGGGTAGTGCAGTTAACGGCACTGCCTGGCGGCGACAGGATCATCGTTCACCTCACACTAGGGAGGTTGCAGCAGTTACGGTTCGCGAGCACAATAAAGGATACAGCCCTAGGTGCTATGGCTGTGGGGAAAGGGGCCATCTTCGGTCCAGCTGCCCTAAGCACACCCTAGGAAGGGAACACCCTACAAAGGGAACTAATGTATCCGTCTGAGAGAAAGGCCATATCTCAGACTATGTCAGCCATGATCAACCAAGATTCATATATATCTGACACGTCCATGTTTAACAAGCTGTTAACCAAAGAAGCAGTTGAGACCTCGTTCAGAAACTTTATGAATGATACATGAAAAAGGTTTTTGACCTTCGGAAGTTTCTTTTCAGGTATGTTTGGAATCTTATTGCTAATGAAACTAATTAAGTGGATATTTGACACCCTCGTCCATTCTCGAGGGTTGTATGAAGTGTACGGCTGTAGCTGGCATATCTTGGCATCTATATGGGACCTTACCACTGGTCGGGAGTAGTTGGCGTTGCAAAAGTGACGATCAAATTGAGCGATTCTTTAGGTACGTATAGGATATCAGATAACATTGTGTCGTCTAAGACGGGGCTAGCATGCAAATATACTGCTGGTTACTGTATAGATGCGTATGAAGGTATGATCACCTGGGACATAATCACAGACGACAAGTGTTCTATGAACTCCTATCTCGTACTCTATAGGGGTAGGGTCTCTAAAATAATAATAAAATCAACTTATAATAGCCAAGATGCTTACACCATGTACTCAGTGAAGGACGGAAAATTCTTAGCGACACTAATAGAAAGAGGATCAAAGGTCATATGTGGTATAACTGTAATAGTTACAGATCATCCCAAACTCCTGATACAGGAGGTTAAGAACGGTCTCTACTATTTCAAACAAGATACACTAACAGCTAAGAACATGGACATCTTTCTCTATGTGAATGCAAAGTTCACACACATTGAGAATCATATGAGGAGAGAAATCAGTTCTATGTATGAAACCCTTGTGCAAGAACAGTGTAAGACAAGACGATCTTTGCTCCAGACTCAATTGTCCTTAGCCACTATTGATCCAGTTGAATTCGCCTATACGTACAAACAAGAACCTGGTTATTCTGCGATAGTTATGGGTGAACAAGTGCACATTGTCAAATGTAGGGCAGTTTATGTTACATCTAGGAAGACAGAAGGATGTTTTAACGAACTACCTATCAATTATACCGGACAGCTCATGTTCATGGCGCCCAGGTCGCGAATAATACAGAGGACAGGTACTCCAGTAACATGCTCAGTATTAATGCAACCGGCTTTCCAGCTGTCGAACTCTTGGTTCGTTTCACAGAATGGGCTGACTAAGAAGTCTGAGCCATCTCAACTATCACCAGTTACTGATACTAAATGGGTTTATACCGATGCTGGTGAACTAGCAACACAAGGTATTTATTCCTATAAAGACCTGGATATTTTACGCTCATCTGGAACACGTCTTTCGCGCGCAGCTTAAAGATCGCGTGCAGCGCAGCAACGAGAACCTGCAGCAGTGGGCCCTTGAGGTGGAGAAGATGGTTCGAAAAGCATACCAGTCTGTACCTGCGCTCATTGAAGGGAACCTGGTTCAGACATTCATCGACGGCATCCGCGACCTTGAAGTCAGAGCTGCTGTGAGACTCGGGCACCACGACACGCTTAAGAACGCCTTGGCCCATGCACTGGAGGTAGAAGCCGTGCGGCAGGATCATCGTTCCCATCGCATCAGGGAGGTTGCAGCAGCTACAGTTCGCGACCGCAACAAAGGATACAGCCCAAGGTGCTATGGCTGTGGGGAAAAGGGCCATCTTCGATCCAGCTGCCCTAAGCGAACCGCAGAAAGGGAAAGTGAACGATATCAGGAGGGTAGTGCAGCTAACGGCACTGCCGGGCGGCGACAGGACATCGTTCACCTCACACTAGGAGGTTGCAGCAGTTACGGTTCGCGACCACAATAAAGGATACAGTCCTAGGTGCTATGGCGGTGGGGAAAGGGGCCATCTTCGGTCCAGCTGCCCTAAGCACACCCTAGGAAGGGAACACCCTACAAAGGGAACTAATGTATCCGTCTGAGAGAAAGGCCATATCTCAGACTATGTCAGCCATGATCAACCAAGATTCATATATATCTGACACGTCCATGTTTAACAAGCTGTTAACCAAAGAAGCAGTTGAGACCTCGTTCAGAAACTTTATGAATGATACATGAAAAAGGTTTTTGACCTTCGGAAGTTTCTTTTCAGGTATGTTTGGAATCTTATTGCTAATGAAACTAATTAAGTGGGTGTTTGACACCCTCGTCCATTCTCGAGGGTTGTATGAAGTGTACGGCTGTAGCTGGCATATCTTGGCATCTATATGGGACCTTACCACTGGTCGGGAGTAGTTGGCGTTGCAAAAGTGACGATCAAATTGAGCGATTCTTTAGGTACGTATAGGATATCAGATAACATTGTGTCGTCTAAGACGGGGCTAGCATGCAAATATACTGCTGGTTACTGTATAGATGCGTATGAAGGTATGATCACCTGGGACATAATCACAGACGACAAGTGTTCTATGAACTCCTATCTCGTACTCTATAGGGGTAGGGTCTCTAAAATAACAATAAAATCAACTGATAATAGCCAAGATGCTTACACCATGTACTCAGTGAAGGACGGAAAATTCTTAGCGGCACTAATAGAAAGAGGATCAAAGGTCATATGTGGTATAACTGTAATAGTTACAGATCATCCCAAACTCCTGATACAGGAGGTTAAGAACGGTCTCTACTATTTCAAACAAGATACACTAACAGCTAAGAACATGGACATCTTTCTCTATGTGAATGCAAAGTTCACACACATTGAGAATCATATGAGGAGAGAAATCAGTTCTATGTATGAAACCCTTGTGCAAGAACAGTGTAAGACAAGACGATCTTTGCTCCAGACTTAATTGTCCTTAGCCACTATTGATCCAGTTGAATTCGCCTATACGTACAAACAAGAACCTGGTTATTCTGCGATAGTTATGGGTGAACAAGTGCACATTGTCAAATGTAGGGCAGTTTATGTTACATCTAGGAAGACAGAAGGATGTTTTAACGAACTACCTATCAATTATACCGGACAGCTCATGTTCATGGCGCCCAGGTCGCGAATAATACAGAGGACAGGTACTCCAGTAACATGCTCAGTATTAATGCAACCGGCTTTCCAGCTGTCGAACTCTTGGTTCGTTTCACAGAATGGGCTGACTAAGAAGTCTGAGCCATCTCAACTATCACCAGTTACTGATACTAAATGGGTTTATACCGATGCTGGTGAACTAGCAACACAAGGTATTTATTCCTATAAAGACCTGGATATTTTACGCTCATCTGGAACACGTCTTTCGCGCGCAGCTTAAAGATCGCGTGCAGCGCAGCAACGAGAACCTGCAGCAGTGGGCCCTTGAGGTGGAGAAGATGGTTCGAAAAGCATACCAGTCTGTACCTGCGCTCATTGAAGGGAACCTGGTTCAGACATTCATCGACGGCATCCGCGACCTTGAAGTCAGAGCTGCTGTGAGACTCGGGCACCACGACACGCTTAAGAACGCCTTGGCCCATGCACTGGAGGTGGAAGCCGTGCGGCAGGATCATCGTTCCCATCGCATCAGGGAGGTTGCAGCAGGTACAGTTCGCGACCGCAACAAAGGATACAGCCCAAGGTGCTATGGCTGTGGGGAAAAGGGCCATCTTCGATCCAGCTGCCCTAAGCGAACCGCAGAAAGGGAAAGTGAACGATATCAGGAGGGTAGTGCAGCTAACGGCACTGCCTGGCGGCGACAGGATCATCGTTCACCTCACACTAGGGAGGTTGCAGCAGTTACGGTTCGCGACCACAATAAAGGATACAGTCCTAGGTGCTATGGCTGTGGGGAAAGGGGCCATCTTCGGTCCAGCTGCCCTAAGCACACCCTAGGAAGGGAACACCCTACAAAGGGAACTAATGTATCCGTCTGAGAGAAAGGCCATATCTCAGACTATGTCAGCCATGATCAACCAAGATTCATATATATCTGACACGTCCATGTTTAACAAGCTGTTAACCAAAGAAGCAGTTGAGACCTCGTTCAGAAACTTTATGAATGATACATGAAAAAGGTTTTTGACCTTCGGAAGTTTCTTTTCAGGTATGTTTGGAATCTTATTGCTAATGAAACTAATTAAGTGGATGTTTGACACCCTCGTCCATTCTCGAGGGTTGTATGAAGTGTACGGCTGTAGCTGGCATATCTTGGCATCTATATGGGACCTTACCACTGGTCGGGAGTAGTTGGCGTTGCAAAAGTGACGATCAAATTGAGCGATTCTTTAGGTACGTATAGGATATCAGATAACATTGTGTCGTCTAAGACGGGGCTAGCATGCAAATATACTGCTGGTTACTGTATAGATGCGTATGAAGGTATGATCACCTGGGACATAATCACAGACGACAAGTGTTCTATGAACTCCTATCTCGTACTCTATAGGGGTAGGGTCTCTAAAATAACAATAAAATCAACTGATAATAGCCAAGATGCTTACACCATGTACTCAGTGAAGGACGGAAAATTCTTAGCGACACTAATAGAAAGAGGATCAAAGGTCATATGTGGTATAACTGTAATAGTTACAGATCATCCCAAACTCCTGATACAGGAGGTTAAGAACGGTCTCTACTATTTCAAACAAGATACACTAACAGCTAAGAACATGGACATCTTTCTCTATGTGAATGCAAAGTTCACACACATTGAGAATCATATGAGGAGAGAAATCAGTTCTATGTATGAAACCCTTGTGCAAGAACAGTGTAAGACAAGACGATCTTTGCTCCAGACTCAATTGTCCTTAGCCACTATTGATCCAGTTGAATTCGCCTATACGTACAAACAAGAACCTGGTTATTCTGCGATAGTTATGGGTGAACAAGTGCACATTGTCAAATGTAGGGCAGTTTATGTTACATCTAGGAAGACAGAAGGATGTTTTAACGAACTACCTATCAATTATACCGGACAGCTCATGTTCATGGCGCCCAGGTCGCGAATAATACAGAGGACAGGTACTCCAGTAACATGCTCAGTATTAATGCAACCGGCTTTCCAGCTGTCGAACTCTTGGTTCGTTTCACAGAATGGGCTGACTAAGAAGTCTGAGCCATCTCAACTATCACCAGTTACTGATACTAAATGGGTTTATACCGATGCCGGTGAACTAGCAACACAAGGTGTTTATTCCTATAAAGACCTGGATATTTTACGCTCATCTGGAACACGTCTTTCGCGCGCAGCTTAAAGATCGCGTGCAGCGCAGCAACGAGAACCTGCAGCAGTGGGCCCTTGAGGTAGAGAAGATGGTTCGAAAAGCATACCAGTCTGTACCTGCGCTCATTGAAGGGAACCTGGTTCAGACATTCATCGACGGCATCCGCGACCTTGAAGTCAGAGCTGCTGTGAGACTCGGGCACCACGACACGCTTAAGAACGCCTTGGCCCATGCACTGGAGGTGGAAGCCGTGCGGCAGGATCATCGTTCCCATCGCATCAGGGAGGTTGCAGCAGCTACAGTTCGCGACCGCAACAAAGGATACAGCCCAAGGTGCTATGGCTGTGGGGAAAAGGGCCATCTTCGATCCAGCTGCCCTAAGCGAACCGCAGAAAGGGAAAGTGAACGATATCAGGAGGGTAGTGCAGCTAACGGCACTGCCTGGCGGCGACAGGATCATCGTTCACCTCACACTAGGGAGGTTGCAGCAGTTACGGTTCGCGACCACAATAAAGGATACAGTCCTAGGTGCTATGGCTGTGGGGAAAGGGGCCATCTTCGGTCCAGCTGCCCTAAGCACACCCTAGGAAGGGAACACCCTACAAAGGGAACTAATGTATCCGTCTGAGAGAAAGGCCATATCTCAGACTATGTCAGCCATGATCAACCAAGATTCATATATATCTGACACGTCCATGTTTAACAAGCTGTTAACCAAAGAAGCAGTTGAGACCTCGTTCAGAAACTTTATGAATGATACATGAAAAAGGTTTTTGACCTTCGGAAGTTTCTTTTCAGGTATGTTTGGAATTTTATTGCTAATGAAACTAATTAAGTGGATATTTGACACCCTCGTCCATTCTCGAGGGTTGTATGAAGTGTACGGCTGTAGCTGGCATATCTTGGCATCTATATGGGACCTTACCACTGGTCGGGAGTAGTTGGCGTTGCAAAAGTGACGATCAAATTGAGCGATTCTTTAGGTACGTATAGGATATCAGATAACATTGTGTCGTCTAAGACGGGGCTAGCATGCAAATATACTGCTGGTTACTGTATAGATGCGTATGAAGGTATGATCACCTGGGACATAATCACAGACGACAAGTGTTCTATGAACTCCTATCTCGTACTCTATAGGGGTAGGGTCTCTAAAATAACAATAAAATCAACTGATAATAGCCAAGATGCTTACACCATGTACTCAGTGAAGGACGGAAAATTCTTAGCGGCACTAATAGAAAGAGGATCAAAGGTCATATGTGGTATAACTGTAATAGTTACAGATCATCCCAAACTCCTGATACAGGAGGTTAAGAACGGTCTCTACTATTTCAAACAAGATACACTAACAGCTAAGAACATGGACATCTTTCTCTATGTGAATGCAAAGTTCACACACATTGAGAATCATATGAGGAGAGAAATCAGTTCTATGTATGAAACCCTTGTGCAAGAACAGTGTAAGACAAGACGATCTTTGCTCCAGACTCAATTGTCCTTAGCCACTATTGATCCAGTTGAATTCGCCTATACGTACAAACAAGAACCTGGTTATTCTGCGATAGTTATGGGTGAACAAGTGCACATTGTCAAATGTAGGGCAGTTTATGTTACATCTAGGAAGACAGAAGGATGTTTTAACGAACTACCTATCAATTATACCGGACAGCTCATGTTCATGGCGCCCAGGTCGCGAATAATACAGAGGACAGGTACTCCAGTAACATGCTCAGTATTAATGCAACCGGCTTTCCAGCTGTCGAACTCTTGGTTCGTTTCACAGAATGGGCTGACTAAGAAGTCTGAGCCATCTCAACTATCACCAGTTACTGATACTAAATGGGTTTATACCGATGCTGGTGAACTAGCAACACAAGGTATTTATTCCTATAAAGACCTGGATATTTTACGCTCATCTGGAACACGTCTTTCGCGCGCAGCTTAAAGATCGCGTGCAGCGCAGCAACTAGAACCTGCAGCAGTGGGCCCTTGAGGTGGAGAAGATGGTTCGAAAAGCATACCAGTCTGTACCTGCGCTCATTGAAGGGAACCTGGTTCAGACATTCATCGACGGCATCCGCGACCTTGAAGTCAGAGCTGCTGTGAGACTCGGGCACCACGAGACGCTTAAGAACGCCTTGGCCCATGCACTGGAGGTGGAAGCCGTGCGGCAGGATCATCGTTCCCATCGCATCAGGGAGGTTGCAGCAGCTACAGTTCGCGACCGCAACAAAGGATACAGCCCAAGGTGCTATGGCTGTGGGGAAAAGGGCCATCTTCGATCCAGCTGCCCTAAGCGAACCGCAGAAAGGGAAAGTGAACGATATCAGGAGGGTAGTGCAGCTAACGGCACTGCCTGGCGGCGACAGGATCATCGTTCACCTCACACTAGGGAGGTTGCAGCAGTTACGGTTCGCGACCACAATAAAGGATACAGTCCTAGGTGCTATGGCTGTGGGGAAAGGGGCCATCTTCGGTCCAGCTGCCCTAAGAACACCCTAGCCTGTAAGCTCTGACAGCGCGCGACATGTTATACTCCCGTTCGCTCGGGACCGTAATGGCGGCAAAATTTGAAAATTAGCAAATTTTTTGCTATATTGCAAATTTTGCTATATTTTCACTTTGAGACAATATTTATGGATAAAACTTACAGGAATTCTTGTTGAATGTATAAACTATCGAATAAAATTATTTTTGGTTGCCAGAAATTGTAATAAAATACGTAAATTACCCTGTATAGCACAGTAGTAGTATGTACTTCAATTTTAGTGACAAAATTACTACTAATTTGAATTCTACACTTTTGTTTTTGGAGAAATTTATATCAAATTGTTTGGAAATATGTATATTTTCATGTTTTATGTGTTTCCATTCGTTACTCATACCAAAATATAAAATATAAAGAAATTAAAAAAAATTAAATATTAATATTTTATCTGTGTGACATTTAGAACAATATTTCTAAAATAGTTTTGTGTGAATTTGAAATAAATACAACGTCAAGTTATTTGAAATATGTAAGAAAACTATTTTTACTTACATTTTACACTAAAAATAAATGAGAATGTGAAAAATACCACATTTATGACCCAGCCGCCATAATTGGCCTTCCAGATTTTGAAGCACTTTTGGCAATTTACTTTTCACTTTTTATACCACAAATTATATATATATGTGTTCACTATATTACAAGGAATATAAAAAAAGTATAATACTTTCGTTTTTAGTCCAGACACAAATATAAAATTCTATAAAAAAGACGGAACACCTTTATCAAAACGGCACGTGGAACGCCGAAAGTTCAGAGTGATTTCTTTTTTTTTTTTTCTAAGAAACATTGCCAGGTTATGGTTTAAAATAAAAGAGCATATCTTTGTCTTTGATACTAATATCTATTGCATAGTGTCTTTGGTTTTGTTTAAAACGAAAAAATAGTTTTTTCATAGGTAGACATGTTTACATAATTCTGATCTAATTCGATCACTACTTGGCGGGCGTAAGGTTGGTATTGCGCGATCTAATGTGAGCAGGGCTTGGTTAACAGGCTAGGAAGGGAACACCCTACAAAGGGAACTAATGTATCCGTCTGAGAGAAAGGCCATATCTCAGACTATGTCAGCCATGATCAACCAAGATTCATATATATCTGACACGTCCATGTTTAACAAGCTGTTAACCAAAGAAGCAGTTGAGACCTCGTTCAGTAACTTTATGAATACTCAGTGAAGGACGGAAAATTCTTAGCGACACTAATAGAAAGAGGATCAAAGGTCATATGTGGTATAACTGTAATAGTTACAGATCATCCCAAACTCCTGATACAGGAGGTTAAGAACGGTCTCTACTATTTCAAACAAGATACACTAACAGCTAAGAACATGGACATCTTTCTCTATGTGAATGCAAAGTTCACACACATTGAGAATCATATGAGGAGAGAAATCAGTTCTATGTATGAAACCCTTGTGCAAGAACAGTGTAAGACAAGACGATCTTTGCTCCAGACTCAATTGTCCTTAGCCACTATTGATCCAGTTGAATTCGCCTATACGTACAAACAAGAACCTGTTTATTCTGCGATAGTTATGGGTGAACAAGTGCACATTGTCAAATGTAGGGCAGTTTATGTTACATCTAGGAAGACAGAAGGATGTTTTAACGAACTACCTATCAATTATACCGGACAGCTCATGTTCATGGCGCCCAGGTCGCGAATAATACAGAGGACAGGTACTCCAGTAACATGCTCAGTATTAATGCAACCGGCTTTCCAGCTGTCGAACTCTTGGTTCGTTTCACAGAATGGGCTGACTAAGAAGTCTGAGCCATCTCAACTATCACCAGTTACTGATACTAAATGGGTTTATACCGATGCTGGTGAACTAGCAACACAAGGTATTTATTCCTATAAAGACCTGGATATTTTACGCTCATCTGGAACACGTCTTTCGCGCGCAGCTTTAAGATCGCGTGCAGCGCAGCAACGAGAACCTGCAGCAGTGGGCCCTTGAGGTGGAGAAGATGGTTCGAAAAGCATACCAGTCTGTACCTGCGCTCATTGAAGGGCCTCAGGCACGTAGTAGAGGAGCACCGAAATTGTACAATGTTGGTGCACCACGGGATAGGACAGCCCTTGACATTGCGGAGCCGTTACAGAAAGGCGCAAGAGGGACTCCTAAGATCGTCCATGTGGATCGCCTAGCGCGTTATTATGGGGCCGATAATGCTCGGGACGAGCATGTCTTAGGAGGGGGCAGTGTTACGCGCTCCAATCGACGACACACTAGCGCCATCTAGTGTCAGGAGCGAGAGCGAGGGGAGCTTTGCAGTGAATGACATCACAACCGACAGCGCCATCCGAAGAAACTAAGTTTCTAGAAAATCTATACTCGAATTCTCGGTACCTTACGCGTGTTTGCTTGAACATTCCGGATATTTTACTAATTTAAATAAATAGGTGGCGCAGGATGCGATCGGGGCAGTGTTGATTTGACGAAACAAGCGAAGCTTCGGAGCGAAATTAAGTGAATTAGTGTGTTTAATTATTAGTGTTTTAACTTTAATTTGTGTAAAGTAAATTAAAGTGTTAATTTAGGTAATTTTATCGGCAATTTTTATTGTCACGAACCTCAAGCTCGTAACAATATGTACTATGTACTAGAAGAAACGACGAGACTTGGTTGTTTGCAAGACTCAAACTTGTCTGTGCCTTAAAAAGGTACTTTTATGTCCCCACACTAGCGTACGTATTTTATTCGCCATGTATGTTCTAGTACGTAGTAAATAGGTATTACTCATGTCGATGCGTCACATTGTATAATTATAGAAGTTTTGAGCGAGAACTCAATCCAGAATAGTCGATGATGATAGTTACCTAAAGGGCCAAAATAGACATGTTTTACTCTGACCAATATCCACAAGTTGGACTTTTTAGGCTGATGAAAAGAAGTATAGGGTGTTCTCTCTCTTTTTCGAATATTAATTTTATAAATATTACAATTAGTCTGTTTGTAGAATCAGGTATTTCAAAGTCACTTTACATTAATAATAGCAGTTTCAAGTCAGTAGTAAGCTAATACACAACTGATTTGCTATTGCACTAAGAAAATAAATTTGACTTTAATTTTACATATTCGCAGATGACACGAAAAAGGATTTCCTTCGGTGTGTATTTTTATATGTGTTTGCAAATTACTTTCTGTAATACTTTTCCATATTCACAAATATGACACGAAAAAGGTTTTTCTTCGGAGTGTATTTTCATGGGTTTGCAAATTACTCTTATAAATATATTTATATCCAGATATTACACGAAAAAAGTTTTTCTCCGGTGTGTATTTTCATATGTGTTTGCAAATTACTTTTTAAAATTCTTTTACATATTCGCAGATATGACACGAAAAAGGTTTTTCTTCAGTGTGTATTTTTATTTGAGTTTGCAAATTACTTTCTGTAATACTTTTACATATTCACAAATATGACACAAAAAAGATTTTTCTCTGGTGTGTATTTTCATGTTAGCAAATTACTTTTAAAAATACTTTTACATTCAGATATGACACTAAAAAGGTTTTCCCTTGTGTGTATTTTCATGTGTTTGCAAATTACTTTTTAAAATACTTTTACATGTTCACAGATATGACACGAAAAAAGTTTTTCTCCAGTGTGTATTTTCATATGCGTTTGCAAATTATTCTTATAAATATATTTATATTCACAGATATTACACGAAAAAAGTTTTTCTCCTGTGTGTATTTTCATGTGTTTGCAAATTACTTTTTAAAATAATTTTACATATTCACAGTTATGACACGAAGAAGGTTTTTCTCCGGTGTGTATTTTCATATGCGTTTGCAAAGTACTCTTATAAATATATTTATATTCACAGACATTACACGAAAAAAGTTTTTCTCCGGTGTGTATTTTCATGTGTTTGCAAATTACTTTCTGTAATTATTTTTACATATTCACAAATATGACAGTAAAAGGTTTTTCTCTGGTGTGTATTTTCATATGCGTTTGCAAATTACTCTTATAAATATACTTTTTATTCACAAACATGACACGAAAAAGGTTTTTTTCTTCGGTGTGTATTTTCATATGCGTTTGCAAATTACTCTTTTTCTCCGGTGTGTATTTTCATGTGTTTGCAAATTAATTTGTAAAATTCTTTAACATAGTCGCAAGATATGACACGAAAAACATTTTTCTTCGGTGTGTATTTTCAGATGTGTTTGCAAACCACTCTTATAAAAATATTTATATTCACAAATATTACACGAATTTTTTTTTCCGGTGTATTTTCATGTTTGCAAAGTTCTATTTAAAATTCTATTACATATTCGCAGATATAACACGAAAAAGGTTTTTCTCCGGTGTGTATTTTCATGTGTTTGCAAATTACTGACTTTAAAATACATTTATATTTACAGATATTTTTTTCAAGTTGTGACCAAACTGCAGTGGTCGGTGTTCTTTTGCGTCTTACGGCTGTGTGAAATGTGTTTGGGGAGAATGTCTTTTGTTGAAAATTGTTTGCTACAATCACATCCAAAAATGTATTTTGTTGATGCCCCTGATGTTTTTTCGTGAGTGTATTAACGCTTATTTCAAAATTTTCTTTTTCATAACCTTTGCAGGATGCATTCCTTACATTGTTAATTTATTCATTATCTTTTTTAGGGCTTTCAAAATCGAGTTATTTACGTATTTTTAACGATAAGCAAATACTGCCCATTTCTATATTAAACTCGCTAGCTTGCATTGTGATGAATTTTTAGAACAGCAAAATATAGGAAGATTAACGCTTAATTATAAAACGAATAAGTTGCTTACAATAAAAAGTTAAGCACAAAGTTTGTTGTTCATTTTAAGTTGTTATTCATAACTTTAGTTAACGAGAGGAAATCGCGCAGGAAGATACGCGACAAGGTATCTAAATTTGTAAGCGAGCGACCCTTATGAATGTGTGCGTGCATAGTAAAATAGTAGGCGTTAGATATTTATGAATATGTCAAAATAATGCATTATCACGCATTCCGAATGTAAAACATAAAAAGGACAGAATGTTTGAAATTTTCTTGTTTTATTCACTCTTCGTCTCTGGGTAACTTTTTTTACCGTCTGGAAAATAATATGTTGTGTTGTGTAAATGGAATAGAAGCTATCCCCGAAAGGATTTTGTAAAATATAACTGATAGGAAAATTTCCGAATATCTAAAAAAAAATACATAAAAGCAATTCCTTCTACCGCATTTACATAAAACTAAAAATAAATTTAAACGGCGCCGTGTAGGCTACGATCGCTAGGGAATGAAAGTCGTAAGCACAAGCGAGACTCATGCACATTTCTTTCAGGCATTCATCGTCGTTATGTAGGCACCAGGCTTAGTTCACAGGTCAACCGCAACTTGGGTAAGTTGCGTTTGACCTATCACCTAAATGGGTGACCAGATATGCGCGCCCAGATCGTTCGTAATGAGCTGGACATCCGTCGTACTGGAAGTACATTCCTTGTAGATGGCTCAGAGTAATGTTTTCCAACATTGAGTCGATGACGGAACGTATCATTTGCAAGATACGTTGCTCCCGTCAGTCGATATACAATACATATTGGACCAATTATGTGGTCGTTAATGGTTGCCGCACAAATGTTAAGCACTGAATCGAACTTGATGAGCATATTCTTTGATTTTCTGTGGGTTTTGGAAACTCAACCAGTGCCCATTGTCATCATTCATCATCATCATCATTACAGCTATTCACAAGTCCACTGCTGAACATAGGCCTCCCTCAAGTAACGCCACAAAGCACGGTCCTGAGCCACCTGCATCCATCGACTTCCTGCATGTCTTACCAGGTCGTCACTCCATCTAGTGGGGGGTCGCCCTACACTACGCCTACCGGTACGAGGCTGCCACTCGAGAACCTTTCTTCCCCATCGGTCATCGGTTCTTCGAGCTATATGGCCGGCCCATTGCCACTTCAGCTTACTAATCCGTTGGGCTATGTCGGTCACTCTGGTTTTACTGCGGATATCCTCATTTCTGAGCCTATCACGCAGAGAAACTCCGAGCATAGCCCTCTCCATAGCTCGCTGAGCAACCTTGAGCGTCCTCATACGGCCTACGTACACTTTAGTTTTCAGAGACTGAGGTATACCTGACGAGAAGATGTGTCGTAATTTCCCGAACGCTGCCCAGCCGAGTTAAATCCGTCTATTGACCTCTCGGTCGAAGTTGGACTTACCTAATCGGACTATTTGTCCCAGGTAAACGTACTCGTCAACAACTTCGAGCATAGTGCTCCCAACAACTACCGGCATAGGTGTGACATGGACATTAAACATGATCTTTGTTTTGTCCATGTTCATCTTAAGACCTATCCATTGGGAGACTCCATTGAGGTCATTGAGCATAGTGCTAAGGTCCTCCAGCGATTCTGCCATTAGGACTATATCGTCGGCAAATCGAAGGTGAGTGATGTACTCGCCATTGATGTTAATACCGTATCCTTTCCAGTCCAGTAGCTTGAAAACGTCTTCCAACGCAGCGGTGAAGAGTTTCGGGATATAACATCACCCTGTCTTACACCTCTCTGCAGTTGGATAGGTTGGCGGCAATAAAACAATGAATTTCTAACGTGCCCATTGTGCACGTTAGAATTTCATTGTTTTATTGCCGTTCGTAATACGGTGCATATTATTAGAATTTCGATAGATTCTAATTGATTTATTTATTTTATTCAAAATGTTTGTTTTTACTTTTTAGTACAGTAGTATTTCAAATTAGTAGTATTTAATAATAGATCAATTTCTCAACATGTTAAGGAAGAAAAAAAATGTAAAATATCTGTGCCATAGGTCATTATGATTTTTTATTATATTTAGTATTTACTCAATTACGAAAACATATATGATTGTATGGACTTTATTGCATTAACGTGTTTTCAGTAGTTTTAGTTTCTTTGAGACCAACTCTTTAGATATCCATAAAAAATCTATGCATTTTCCGAATTTAATACCTTAGGAAATTAACAAATATTTTCCCAAATTTTAAGGACTTTACGGTACTCAAAACGAGGGAGACTAACATGTTTAACGTAAGATGTTATTGTTAACGTAGCTTGGGTTCACTTTGTCATCATAACATAAAACAGTCCTCTCGTGACTATGGATGCCGCAATAAACTTCAAATACCAAAAAAAAATTTTACATAATGAAATATACAGTAAACCCTTTTGTTTTATGCATTTTTATGACTTATTTTAATAATCACTAAGACTAAAACGTAGCCACACAAAAAATTAATACAATTTTTGTGCCAGTAGCTGGCAACACATACACATTAAGCGTAAAAAAACCACCTGTATCGGTATAGATACAATATTCATTCAAATACACATTCTCGATCCATTCAAAGATATCACAGTAAATGTTTATTAAAACCAAAAGTGTTTAATAATTCGCGATTTAGAAAAAATAAACATTCATACAATTGTATGTAAACCCGAGTATAAAAAGTTGGTGATCAATTTTTAAATCACGAACACTTATTTCAGTTTTAATATTTATTACTGAGATTGCTTTAGACCTGCAATGGCTACCTTTATACTAGCTTAAATTCTATACATGTCTGAATATAGTATATTACTAAATAGTTAGATATGTGAGCAGGCAACTCTTTGTTTGCACGAAGAAATATCCTTAACTCAGACTATTAAATGCAACATGCCGAAGCATACATAATTATGTAGAGTAATCAATTTTAACAGTTAATTTCAAATTTTTTAAAATTAATGTCAAAACACAACAATATTATTAGTAGTTTAAATATTATTAGTATTAGTAGTCGAAAATGTAAGATCAAAATCAAATAATGTACTCCTAAACTATTTCCATACCTATGTAATTCCAAATGTCAACAATTTTTTTTAATCGTACCCTTTACATATCCAAACTTAATCGCAGAAATGAGACTTTAGATGCTTCATCATACCGAATATACGGAAACGTTTTGTACCAAACACTTTGTACATAGCATCATCACATATTGCAAACTGTTTGTTGTTGGGGTCATAAAGCTTACGTTCTTTGACGAGCGCCCATACACGTTTGACCACTTCGTGCCGGGGCATCTCGTCTTGCCCCATCAATTCTGCTAAAGCTGGGGAAAGTTTGTATGCACGGGTGTAGCCACCACCTTTTCCTTTTCCTCCAGCCTGTGAATAACATTTTAAAAATTATTTTTCCAAGCCTTCTAATCTAAACTTACACACATAAACTTAGTATTTTCAGACACCAATATACAAGATTATCCTCATTTGGGATCCAATGGAATATTTGCACATCTTTTCTTGAACATTGTTTAGCTCAATGTTCTTGCATACATTGTTAAAATCTGTCAATATTTTTGGCCTATAGAAATCTACATCCGTCCTTGATTACGAATCAAAAGCAAATTCGTTATCAATCGTGAGGACTGAGATGGAATGTCCCATTTTCAATAAAAGGGGTCTCCGGTTCTCTACACTCACCATACGAAACACAGCAGCATTAAGCTGTTATTTTACGCTGATATTCTATGAGAGCGTAGTAGTACCCCGGGCGAGCCGACCGATTCATGCTACAACTATACTACTGATATAGCTGCAGCATGGCTTCACCATGTATGCTATTACCACATATATTATTATTAATATAAAAAATTCATGTGTCTTCACTAGTTTGAAGAGCCACTCCCACCTTCCATTCGAAATACGTGTCCTCCACTTAATCAGAGGACGCCCTACATTACATTTGTTTGAGCATCGCCTTCTGTCCTTAATACGTCTTTTCCATGAGGTAATGCCAACTAATAAAAAGTTACAACATTCAATATCTTTAAATTAAAAAATTGGCAATGCTGACTCGTGTTCTCTCTGTCGCGGTTGTTAATGAAAAAAAAATGTGTGTTCAGTTGCCTCTGTGAAATTTAGTAAAAATAAAAGTTAAATCCAATGTTATTTTTAGTATATTTTAATATCAACGCACACCCGCCTCGCGAAAGCAAGGCCTATAATGATTCTTCATCTTTGCTGCATATTAACGAGGCCTTGGGAACACTTTCACACAAATCCCAACCAGCGCTTGTCGCCTTTTTTAAATGAAAATATGTAAGTAAATTTTATTAAAATAACATCTCTTCAAGGACGACAACTCCTCCCCCTAGTCCTCTTCAGAGAAACAACCCACCAAGCGACACACAACCCACCTGATGGTAAGTGGCTGCTGTGACCCATAGACATCTACATATTATATCCTCAATTACGAATCAAAATGCAGATGGATTGTCACTCTTAGGATCAAAATGAAATGCCTTGTATCCACTTGCTATCTGGTTCTCTACACTCACGATACGAAACACATCAACATTGGGGTGCTATTTTATGCTGATATTCTGTAGAGCGTGATCCTTCCCCAGTGATACCAACCATTCGTTCTACGACCATAATATAGCTGCAACATGGCCCTACCGCGTAAAAATCCTTTCTCCATCTTTATATCCCTCCATAATGGGTTCTTGACACGCCCAACTCCTGCAATAAATGTGAGTATATTTGTTGGTTTTATAGTTTATTTTTTTACCTTTCTAGCTTTAGGTGCCTTTTCCTTCTTCTTTCCCCAATCACTGTCCGAATCTCCATCAGATCCCTTCTTCTTCTTCTTGCCTTTCTTGGCGGCTGGTTTCTTCTTTTCCTCCTATAAGTTTTTGAAATTACTATTAATGTAAGCCTTAAAACTAGGTTTAAAAAATTAAACTGAAAAACGCTGACCTCAAACAACTAAAAAGAAAAAATACTTTCCACTCAGCTTCTGAAGTGAGTGCTAAGAATGTGTATGGAAGAATTAAAGCCTTCCATACACAGCGTAAACATAAATAATGAAAGAAAAAGGATCAAAGTATAAAGTCTTCAGACATAGATTGAACAACCTTGCATATTGCAGTACAGTAAAGATCAATTACAGTATATATTTCGAGACTTTACTTGTTTTTTTTTTAAATAAAATGAAACATTTAACAATTTATTATCTACTACCTCATATAATTGCATTGGTATCGTAAAAGGCGTCAAGGAAACTGACACAGGAAATGGGCAATAGTATCTTCCTGATAAAAACTGAAAATAATAATGAACTTTGTTTACTGAAGCTTGGTGGGTGCCAAACTTGGCAACTATGGCAAAATCCCTCTTATGAGAGGGGAGGCCTACATTCAGCAGTGGATTTTTGATGGACTGGAATGATAATAATTAAAATGTTTAATGAATAAAACTATTTTTACGGATTTTATCGAATTTTATTTCGTAATCCGTAAAAATAATGTTATTTCTTCAATGTGTATTGTTTACATAAATATAAGAAATCATTATGTAACATTCAATGTTTTACATAATGATTTCTTATCTTTACGCGTTGATTAAAACTACTTTTACGGATTTTATCGCGTTTTATTTTTAATACCTGACTTTTCGGGTGCTTTCCAGCACCCATGGTCACAGGGGACTGAGGTGACTGACGTCCCGATGTCAAAGTTAACATGGAGTACCTTCAGCTTTTTTAATTATTGCCTTTGGTCCGATCTACACAGAATGAACTAACTGTGTTTTGAAGTCTTGCAGTGGTATGCTTGGGTTTAGTTTTAGTTTCCTCAAGGTTCTACAAGCGGTATGTAGACGATACTGTCACAATTTTACCATCAGACAAAGTAACTGCATTTTTAGAACATCTTAATTCCATACACTCTAAAATTCAATTTACTATTGAGTTAGAAGCAAATAATTCCTTAGCTTTCCTAGATGTGTTAAATCTTAACAACACCATTGGTCATACTATGTATAGAAAAAAGACCCATACAAACCGATATTTAAATGGTGAATCTCACCATCATCCTTCACAGTTAGCTACCGTGGGCAAATCTTTGTTACGGAGAGCACGAGGGATCTGTGACAGCAAACACCTGGCCGCCAAGCTTCAGCACGTCAAGCAGGTTCTGCACGACAACAAGCTTTGGGTCCCGCGCCTACGTCACAGTGACCGAGTGAAGCCGGCCATAGTCGAGCGTGTGCTTGCTGTACTACCATATGTCAGAGGTGTCACAGACAAGATTGGATATATCTTGAAGCGAGCTTCTATTTAAACATTCTACAAGCCGCCGAAGAAGATTAGTCAGTTCTTACCATCCATCAAGTGTCATATTCCTCTACAAGATGCAGGAGTGTACAAGCTTGATTGTGATTGTGGTCTCTCATATATAGGGCAAACAAAGTGATAAATTAGAACCCGCATAAAAGAACACAGCTGACGTGAAGCATCAACGTTCCGGGAAGTTTGCAGTTTGCGATCATATCCTAGATGGCCCCAACAATTACATCAGATTTGATAGACCACAAATCCTCGCGAAAGACCATGGATTCCTACCAAGGATAATACGTGAGGCTATTGAAATTAAAAAACATCCTAATTTCAATAGAGAAGGAGGCTGGGTACTAACCACCTGCTTGGGACCCTATAATTAAAATTAAAACTAAACCCAAGCATACCACTGCAAGACTTCAAAACACAGTTAGTTCATTCTGCGTAGATCGGACCAAAGACAATAATTAAAAAAGCTGAAGGTACTCCATGTTAACTTTGACATCGGGACGTCAGTCACCTCAATCCCCTGTGACCATGGGTGCTGGAAAGCACCCGAAACGTCGGGTATTAAAAATATAATAAATAAAACACAATAATATCCGTAAAAGTAGTTTTAATCAATTCAATGTTTTGATTAATTTTAGCTGCGTAGCGTCACGCCTATAATCTCCGAGGGAGTAAGCAGAAAGATCAGCAAGCTACCTGGACAATGTTTAACCAATTTTTAATATAGGAAATAGAATGTTTATGTAACTATAACAAAAAAGATTTTAGCACAGTTACAATTTTTTTGTTAGTCTCACATCAACATGGGAACTATAAGCCTCAGACCCACCCACATGACAATAATTTTAGTTATAACCTAATTTATGAATTAATCAAGTATGACTAATAACTTACCACATACCCCATAACATTATGTGGGTGCCGTAAGGGGCGTTGTTAAAAGGAGGAAACAAATCAAGATATGTGCAGCAGCATCTTCCTAATAATGAATAACTATACAAAACTGCAGTTGGTAACCCGCTTGCAGTGCAACCAGTGGCAACTAGGGCAAATACCCCATGAGACAATCTATGTGGAAGGCTAGTGGACTTTATAGGCTGTAACGGTATCGGTAGTACTTACCTCAGATGCACTTTCATCAGATCCCTTTTCTTCCTCTTCCTCCTCCTCACTGCTCTCCTTGCGGGATTTCTTGGTGGAAGCCTTTGAGGCCGGTGCAGATCTCTTCGCCGGTTTTTTCTCTTCTTCCTCCTGTAAAATTTTTCTATTAACTACTAACAGTGGTAGTGTATCTGAATCGCCAATTTAATTGGAATTCCAAATCCAACATAAGTACGAGCCTGGGCAATATAGTACACAACAGTGGTGTAGAATGGGTAAATGCCGCCAAAGCCGTTAGAGCCTACAATGACGTCCTCTACCCCCCTCCATTTTCGGTACCTCAAAAAAGAAACAACCTCTAAAACATGCCCACGGCCAAATCGATCGAATTGTAAGCTCTATCTCTTTATATATCTATATCTTTAAACAATAAAAGTATAGTGAGTTATTTGCATATTGTTAAGACATAAATAATCGTTTTTAAAAAATTTGTCTCTTTGTCTGAGCTAAGAAATGATTGGATGAAAATTTACGAACAGATAGGGAGCAATTTCAGGAAGGATCTAAGCTATCATTACCAGAAAAACTAGACAATTAAAAAAAAACTATAAATTGAGTAAATCAATGGTCTTTGATTATCAGAATTCTCTTAATCTATTCACCATTACAATCAATTTAGCCATTCTGAAGATTAGCCTAGACAGACAGACTGACAAAAATTTTAAAACATTATTTATCTCTTAATATCATGCAAATATCCTCGTGATATTAATAAAGTTACAGCCTTATATACGTCCCATTCCTGGCACAAGACTCCGGCGGCGGGGATCGAACCCGGTGTGCTCGCATACTGTGAAATTAAAAACGAGTGTGCTAACCATCTGAGCTATCTTAATAGATTATCTTATTTCAATATTACAGACAAATACTTAAATTTTATTCATATTATTGGTCAATATTTGTTATTTGTTCCTTGTAGACTTTTTCTTTCAGACAACCCTAATTAAAGAAATCCGGGGGATTTAGGTATGGTGAGCGCAGTGGCCACAATATTGAACATAAACGCTAAATCCTCTAACTTTAACAGCAATGAGTGAGATAGCTGTCATTCTGCAGCTTTTCCCAGAAGCAAGGGTAAGTTACAATCCGTAAAAATCTTTAATTTCTCTTTGCATATAAAGTCTCTGGCAACTCATCTTGACCGACTATCTGTTCGTTAATTATTCCAGCCCAGAGGTTCATTTTAAATTGATACTGTGATCTATCTGTGTGATTGCCGTATCTGATGCTGGTTTTATAGCTGCTGACTATGCAGATTGTGTAAATTTAAGTATACATATTTCTTGAGAGATGACTCGACACTTTATATTTTATTAAAAAACTATGGGTCTTCTCCTATTCTGCGTAGCATTTCTCTACAAAGTCTTACTTTAAAGGGTTAATCTCTTGGTAGGAACAACTTTACAGTCTGTACAGATAAAGAATGTGATTAGATGTGGCACCTCATTGAGCCTGTACCGTCAACATGCAGAATACCAATAGCATATAACAGCTTGTCGCTCTCGCTAATCGTTATAGCTCTATATTATTCAGTTGATTGGAAATTTTCTATTAAAGGGAAAATAATTGAAAATAATTTTATATCCCAGTGGGAACATTAATTTTAACGTAACATTTATAAGAAGTGACCCACTCTGGCTTCGCATAGGTGGGGTCTATTACTGTGGTGTTATTTAGACTTAAGATAATCATTAAAGACCATTTTATAGGCCCGGTTTACATTTTGGGAAGTGACAAGTGCGAATGGCAAGTGCAACTGACAAATAACAAGTGCTTAATTCATATTTTTGTCATTTATCACTTTTAAAATGTAAACCAGGACCTACTTTATTGGTAAGCTCTCACCAATGGGTTTTTTGTAAACAAAGTAAACACGTGTGAGGTAACAAAGGCCCAACCCTTTTTTTATCTTATGATGTTTATGTGCTCCTAAAACAAGTTTTTGTCTAACTCAAATCACATTTTAAAAGTAAAAAGTTACAATTTATTCATGTTGTATTAATGCAACTAAGTTTTAAGATAGTATTTTTATGAATATATTTAATATACTAGCTTGCCAGGCAGACGTTTTTCTGCCCTTTTCGATGACCTTTTGTCATGTCCTGTTAAAAATCCCTAAATTCGCAAAAAAAAATTGTGGGTCACTCATGGGCAAAAAACTATCCATCTCTCAAGTTGGACCAAACTGCACCCCGTGTGCAAATTTGATTAAAATTGGTTAAGTAGTTTAGGAGTCCACTGCGGACAAACAATGTGACACATAATTTATATACAATATGTAACGTAATTAACGCACACCCTCAGACACACCAATTAGTATATTATGTTATAATGATAATGCATACACTGAATGTTAGTTAAACATTTTTATGCACTGATTATTTGTCAAATTAATTATACTAATTCCGGAAGAATGATGTGGTCACAGTACAAATCCACGAACGCAAAGACTTTAAGGTGCTTGAAATAAAGTTCATTTTTCTTTATTTTTTTTTATTTTTATTGAATGACAGAATTAGTAATATTACAAATAAAACTGCATTCTTAAAAGTCTTATTGCCTTAAGATACTGTCCATTTCAGTTTGTTTTGACTGTACAGATTTAGTGTGACTGTAATTTACATAGTTTTAATTATTTTTGGGATAAAAAATTACCTATATTAAAAATGATAGGAATTGATTCAGTAAACGATTCTGAACAAACTACTTTATCAAAGTGCGTTTATGTTACATGTTGTATATTCAGATTATAATTGGATATATTTCCGATAAACAATAGGACCCCTTATTGTGATACCATTTTGAAATCGGTAGTAAGTAGGCATATTTTTAAATAAACGGGCACTAACTGTGTGGTACATTTTTTACAAAAATCGCTCTTGAATTTACATAATATGTAAAAATTTTGAGTTAACTAATTTTTTTCACTTATCTATTTAAATGCTTGAACTATGTGTCATATCACGTCGCGCGACACAGACACGTGATATACGGGGGTGAAACCGCCGGGCACAGCTAGTTTCTAATAATCAAAGACCATTTATTTATTTATTTATTGTTCTTTTATCTTCAAGATTTTCAGATAAAATATGTCTAAATAGCATAGAAACCAGTTATTTCAATATAACAAACAGACCTCATTTTAATTTATATGCATAGATTACTCTTATTGAGTTGTATAATATATCTAACATCCTTGCCTTTGCCTTCCTTCCTTGGCGTGGCGTAAGTGAATCTTTGCCATTTCACCCCATAGTCATCATAAGAAGTGACTATGGGAAAAGACAGGAAGACCTCAAGATCTTTAAATGATAGTGAGGTACCCCAAAGTAAATGCCAAATTTGAAATACCCAGTGATGAGGGCACTGTCAAAAATTTGAAACACCCGATACTCTAATCTCTAATCCACCTGCCAAGTGTTCAGTACAGCAAATTTGCTTATGATGCTATAGACAATATCAAGTGGACTGCTATGGGCTGATAGCAATAAAGAAAAAAATTATACTTGAATCTCTCACCTCTTCTTCCTCTTCCTCCTCTTCGTTCTCAGAATCTGAACGCTTACTGTTCACATAATCCATTACCAACTGATCAATGACTTTCTTCTTGTCCGACAAATCTGTCCCAAAGCTCTTTTCCAGTTTCTGGATGACCTTCTTAGTAGATGTTGTGGCCAGATTTGCATCTTTTAGAATTTCTGTTAGGAAAAATATGCTACATATCAGATAATATAAATACATTGTAAAACAATATTTTATCATTTAATTTGTAATTTAGCTCTTATTAAATAAGCCAAGAATCACAGACCTAATAAAATATCATGCACTTGTATGCGACACATTATAAAAGTTTTTATATGTCGTAGAGCCATGCTGCAGTTACATTGGTAGTATTTGTAGCACAAATGGGTCGGCTCGACTGGGGAACAACCACACTCTCACAGAATACCAGCGTAAAATAGTAGCTTAATGCTGCTGTGTTTTATATGGTGGGTGTAGAGAACTGAATACCCTTTTTACTGTAAACGAGGCATTCCATCTTAGTCCCGTAGGTGACAACACATCTGCATTTTGATTCTTAATTGAGGATAGATTTAGATGTCTATGGGTCACAGCAACCACTTACCATCAGGTGGACTGTGTGCCAATGTGTGCTTGTTTGTCACCCTATACTATAAAAAAAAGAAACTAAATTATAAACTTCTAGGACTAAAATAATTTACACAAATGTAAAAAAAAACTTTTTTAGACAATGAAATGAATGATTTTTATTTAATATAGATAATTGTATAATACTTATTAAGTGTTTTTTTTTTATTTAGCACTGGTTAGGAAAATACCTATGTCCTGAGAAGAACCAGTAAGAAACTCAGTGGAACATTTTAAAAACATTTTACTTCTCAATAATTTTGTTAGTACAATTTTTAAATTAATTTATATAGAACCAGCATGGTTGGCCTCACCTCATTTCCAAGAGCTATTTTCATTTATGTATTCTTTGATATTGTAATAACCATTTTTGTACAATTTTTCTTTAATTTTGTAAATTTCATTTTAACTTGTATACTGACAAATTTTGTACATTGATAAATAAATGATAATTATTGTACTGATTAATTGGAGGATGGGTGCAAAGCTGTAAGGGGAAGGTATAGTAAGTGCCAAATCAATTGAGAAAACGGACAATAACCTTTCAGTCGTTTAACCAGGGGCTACAAACCTTCAATAGTATATGGGCACTTTTTATATGTAGTACTTACTTTATTTATAATGATTTTTTTATAATGATTGATATAACATATATTTATTAACTATTGTTAAAAAGTTATGTACAGATCGCTGTAGAAGAAAAATCATCTATTGTTATAAAGTACTTTATTCATTTAACAACAAAGAGCATTAATTTATAACACATATAAAGATTCGAGTGATAACGCCACCAAATAAGTACATACTTATTCAAAAGATAAAACCTTAAAAAAGTAAAGTAAAGTTACAGCCTCTATACGTCCCACAGCTGGGCACAGGCCTCCCCTCATTTCTGAGAGTTTCAGGGCAAGGAAGTGTCCGCCGCGCTGCCCCAATGCGTGTTGGCGAACTTCACATGTCTTCGAAATATTTTTTCTTATTCCTCAGACATGCAGGTTTCCTCACGATGTTTTCCTTCACCGCCGAGCACGTGTTAAATCAGCACTTAAAACTGCAATTAATAATTTCATTGGTGCCGGCGGGGATCGAACCCGGGTTACTCGCGTTCTGTTATATTTACAGCGAGCGCTAACCATCTGAGCTACCACGGCTCTGATAAAACCTTATTTTCAGTATTATATAAGACTATATTTTTTATTCAATGCCCAAAAAAATGACGCATCTCTGGCTGCCAATATTTATATTTTAGAACGAACTGACGTAACGTGCGTTTTGTTTATTTTAAAAGGATGAATTTGCAAAAGCTCAATATGGTAATTATATTGCTTCAAATATTTTTTTAAATATGAAACTTAAATGAATTGCTGTGTTACTTACCATAAATTGAAATATAACACATTTTTCGCGATGTACCGTAAGATTTTACGATGTTTATAGGAACCACAGACAATATTATGTAAGAAAAAATAAACAAAACATGTACTGACCTGGAAGTGTGAATAATATAAATATTTAAATATTGTTATCACATCTAAATTGAGATTTTGTAAGTTACGCCTTTTGACACTGCTCATATCTGATGTCATTATCCATTTTTCTGAATCGATTTGGCACAAACTATAGTATACATTTACGCAACTTATGTTAGATAAAGTCTATTTGTTTTTTTATGGTGGATAAAAACCAAAATTTTATAGATTGCTAGAATTGCCAGTTTTATTGATAAATGTTTTTTTTATGAAAGTAATGTGTAAGCAATTTAACAAAACATGGTCTAAGCATCTGTGTCTTCAGAATTTTTTTTAAAGACACTAAGTTAACTTTCAGATAAGAAACAGGATTTTTGATGCTAAGTTAAAAAAATTAATGGTGATTTTTTGTTCAAATCTTTTTTAAAACATGCTTGTTTATTTGAGGTATCATTTACGTGAATATGTTACAAATTATTAAAATTGGGACCCATTTTTTAACAAAATGTAAAGAAATAATAAACAATGAAATATTAATGCTTAATAATATGGTTATATGTCAAGAATAGGTATTCCCTGGGGAATAAATCTAGGTCAATTTTTGTTCTTAAGTTGATAATTGCTCCCATATGGTGTATGCATATGCAGGCGTGGAAAAATCTAAAAATAAAGTCTAGTCTATTATGATGGATATATCTTACATTTAATTGACTCCAAAAAAGGAAGTTACTCAATTCGACTGTATTTTTTTAATGTATGTTCATAACTATAATGTAGGGAAACAGATTTTAATGGTTCTTTTATTTGAAAGCTGGTGCTTCTCATGTGGTTCCATATAAATTTGATCAAGATCTGACCAGTTGTTTTTGAATTATCCTTAATATGTATTCAATTGACTTCGACTACATTGATGATGTTCTTACTTTATTTATATTGAAGTCAGTTGTATAAAATTTTTAATTTTACCACTTGTTATTAATCTAATCATAAATCTCTCGTATAAAGTTGACCACGACTTATAAGTCAACAAAGAAGATGAAAATTTTATCATATTGTAGAAATACAGTTGGTGAATTCGAAACCTTTGATTTATTTTAAATGCATGTTATTAAATCATTTACAAATAAATAAATCTGTCCATTACATATATTATTGTATTTTTCTCTGAACAAAAATAGCATCTAAACATTTTTGAAAATTTTAGTTTGAGATATTTAATCAGCCAAGTTACAAGGAATATAAAAATGGTGAGACTTGAGCGGTGATAACACAAGAGCAACTACCAGCCGCAAATTTCGAAATATGTGAACAACCAAAGTTCAATTCCTGGTGGCAACAAAGAAGCTTTTATTAGGATGTTAGTGCTGATTCGCAAAACGCTCTGGCTTAGAAGAGTAAAACAACATAAAGATAACTGCGTATCTACAAAATAAGACATTTAAATTCCTACTACATGTGCTGAAACCATCTATACATCCATACATTGCAGCTTATCACCAGTCCACTGCTGAACAAAGGCCTCCCCATAGACTGTTTCATCAGTAGGATACTTATCCTAGTTGCCGTGCTTGGCAGGCAGGATGGCACTAGTTCTTTTTACTATTTTGAGTTTTTATCAGAAAACTGCTGCTGTCCATCTTTTTCACTTCCCTCTGACGTCTCCTACGACACCCCCGGGTGGATCCACAGGGAAGACTAGCTCCATAACCTTGTGACAACCCCTAGTTTCAGAAGTGGGAATTAAATAGGAGGAATCTTTTACTATTTTAAGAACAAAACTTTGATGGTATTACCTGAAAAAAGTAAATAGCTAAAGTCGTGTTACTTTCTAAACTAATATACAGAAAAATGAATGATAGGCTTAGTTTACATATGATTATTAGAAATATTTGCAATTTAAACTGATATGTTTAGTAATAAACAAATTATAAGGGAATAAAAAATGTAAGAGTAATTTCGAATGAGTTTCTGAACGCAACATGGCCGACTTCGTCTCATTAATATGACAAACAAATTTCTATAATATACAATATTCTGATAATTTAATCGAAAAATCTATCAAATGAAAGCTATTTTAATAGACGATGCGCATCGTTTTAGATTATTACTATTTTTTTAATGGCCACCATTGGGTCGCTTTATACGTGGAGTATTGTATAACTTCGCATCGCATAAAAATAAACCATCAGTGGGTAGACATATTTACACGGCCAAAAACGGTGGCGAAAGTCTAAATTGATCCGCACGATATTAGAAAACAACTTTTATTTGAAAAATTATTGTTTAAACATCATACTATCAGAGATATTTCAATTACAATGTACCCAAATTAAGTTCGCTTGGAAATCGGGAGGAAGCCATTACATTACACACTTGGGAGGCAGCTCAAGAGCATCTTTTTAGAAAAGTTGTTAAAATAATTCGAATTTCTTAGTATGACAATTTGAATCAACCATTCAAAGAAAATTTTCTTACTTGCAATTTCTTTTTCAAGTTCTTCCTTGCTTATGTCTGCCATTTTCTTGAAGTTAGTTTCCTTTCCGCCAGTTATACAAGAAATACACCTCGCAGCCACACAATAATATACCTACGCGCTAGATGCTACACGGCGTCCTGCCGAAAATTGCCGATCGCCTCTTCGGAAGCATTCGGGCTCAAAACAATAAACACTCAGTATTGCCAATATTAATTTTGAATTCCCCGTCCACAACGCCTTAAGCTTAACTTAATTCCATCCTTACTTACACCTTCTTATCCTCTGAAATACCCGCTGATATATTGTGATTGTTTAAATTCCATCGAATCCCCTATATAACGATGATTTATAGAAACAAAACTACTTTATTAATAAAGAATTAAAAAATATGTATGCATTTTTTTTATATTATTATCAGGAATGTCTGTATAACATCATGCGTAGTAAAACATAAAGTTTTGATCACGAAGGAGCTATGATCTCAGCTATATTGTAGTAATCAAAACACTAATTATTTTACATATCAAGTTAAACCTTTATCACAATTAGTTTTTTAATAAATCTTATTTAATATTACCACAGTTTAAAAACTTTAAAAGTAAAAGTCTTAACCTTATCGTTCGTATCGTATTGTATCTTAACCTTATCGTAAAACTCTTGACCTTATCTTTTACATTCCTATTAAGTACTTTTTTATATGTTTAGGAATGTATCCTGAATGAGACCAGATTGTTGCAGTCAACTAGACGTGGGTTGTTACGTCATTTTCAAGAAACGTAACGGAACCAGTGACTTGGTCGGCGTCACATGTTTCAAAACTAGTGATTTTTGTAACTGGCTATTTTTGTTCGGCTACTGTGATTGTTTGCATAAATATCACACGAAACGAAAACAAATTTAATCACAATCTGTACTTGTAGCTATACAGTAATTGTATACTGTTAAATCAATAAATTAACTTCCCTTCATACTTTATTCAGGTTTAGGACTGACTGCATTAAATGTATTTATGATTGATTTGCGTTTACTATGACACTAAGATTTTCATAAAATTATTAATGCAGGTAAGTCAGTTTGATTGTTTATACAATGATTATTGATATTTACAGTTTATTTACACTTTTCCAACGTTTTCACTATCATTTGTTTTTGCACTTTTATTTACACTGTACAATTAATTTGTTTGTTTGTTTGGCTATTTACACACAGTTTTTAAGTTTTATAATTTTATAAACATTTAAATTTTTTGTATATATTTTTAGTTTTATTTTGATTTTATGAATAAACGAGTTCATGACTCCGTCAAAAATGTTTTAAAAATTATTTTAGTTAAGTTCAATGTGACTCCCGCTTCCCGGAATCGACCCTTGAAATTACTTACAAACAGAGATTACTCTATTTTACTGTCTATGCATATCGTCTTACGTATGAAAATTAAAAGTACAACAATACTGTTACAAACGCTGTTTTGTTTATTGTTGTATGCCACATGTGCGCTTTGCGTTTGACCGGCCCACAGTCGACTCTCGCAATAATCACGGTAACAGTAATAAGTAACGCATTTACAAAAATCACTAGTTCTAATATGACTCGAAACTAGTGATTCGGTTACATGCCGCGTAGCCAGTTACTGTATCTAGTGACGTGAAATAACGCCCACGTCTACAGTCAACTTTGCCTTGCAGTGTTAGAATGCTCACTGATATAAAGTGTGAGCATGTGTATATAGGATATTGGTTAACAACCTCTAATATCTTAACACATTATTTTTAGTTTTTGCTTTGTTTGATAGCAAAGTCTTTGGAAATTTTTTGTGTTTTACCGAAGCTACCATATAATACGGAAAATGCTTTAGCAATGGCAGCACTGACAATTTTTTTTTTAAATTGCGGAGTATTGGCGGGAAACGGGAACTTGATCCCGCCTACTGATTTTTTTTCTTTCATGACGGATTCGTACGGTTATGTTTTTGCCAGTCAAAATCAAGTAATAAGTTCTTATCCTCTGTAATAATTTGTTTCAAAAACTTTTTCACTATATTATAGTCAACCAAATCTAATGCCCCATTTACATTCAGCCCTGTTGGGCAGGGAAGTGAGCAGGGCAGTGGGCAGGGCAGTATGTAAACGGGCTATTCGCGCTGACACTGCCACTGCCGCTGCGACTGCCCGACGATCGCTCAAATGTCGGTTTTTCGCGCGGAAGTCAAAGGACGGGCAGCGCGAGCGGCAGTGAGTGTTCACATTCAGCTCCATGCGCCTGGATGAATGGACGTGCATGCCGTTTTGTTATTAAATAAGTACGATCTACCAAAATGCCTTTCGAGTGGAATAAAGAAAATACAATAAAGTTTTTAGAACTGCTGGAATCAGTAAAAACTATATGGGATTTCAACGATAAAAACCACAATTCATCATCTTCTACGAATACGAATTTTCTTTTTGAGATAACATAGTACCTATGTACATAATTAATTATAAATTCGTCAAATTTATTATATTAATATAAAATTTAGTTTAAGGAATTAATGAACATTGACATTTTATTTCTAACAACGATTAGTAACTCATATTGATTATTTATTTATTAAAATGTGAAATAAGTTAAATGGTAATATTTGCATAATAGCCTGAAATTTTTAAATTATAATTTTATTGTAGTTAAAATTATGAATTAATTAATACTGTAGTGTAATTATTAAAATAATAATAGCTTAACTAATCTCATATAATATTTAATATTATTTATGTAATAATAATGTAATAATTCAATTAATACTTTTTGAACAATTTACAGTATAAGAATTCAAATAGAGTGGATCTGTATAAGTATTTAATTGTACATAATACCTATTTGAATTCAAAAAGAATGTTTGTACCTAACTTATAAGCAATACAATAATTTTAAAATATAACATTGGGTTTGTGTAATTAGCTGTATTTCATATCATTTTTGCATGCCAATTATGGCAAAACCTGTCAGTTCCACGTCATTGATCATCTTATGTACCATGTTTTAAGCAAATAAATTTTCTATATATCTATCTATCTTCTTTTGGATTTGAAATCTTTTTAAATTATTAACATATATTTGTACTGCAAGAAGACACAGCGTGGACGCTGTAATTATTTCGACGTCTGCCATAGTCGAAAGCCGAAAGCGATGTGAGCGGTAGGGCAGAGTGTGAATACATACTTCCCGCGATCCTGCTACGGCAGTATTTAGCGAAGTATTGCCGGCAGCGCGAGGAGCAGTGGCAGGGGCTGAATGTAAATGAGGCATAAGAAACACCTTTTGATGTTTCACATTAATCATTCCGCAATAACTTTGCACAAGCGTACTCACACGATTCAAAATAACCGTGTATAATAAGTTATCTATATTTCATTACATTGTGTATAGTTTTTTATCACTAATTTAAATTTGAATCTTTCAAACAAAGCAAAATATTTAAAAATAACCAGTATCAACTTTTCTACTGGACGTCGTTTCAATGATATGTCGCTATGTACATTACCGTAGTGTTTGGATGGTTAAAATTCATTGTTATGCAAACAATCGGGAAAATATTCAAATAATCGGTAAAAATATTTAAATAATCGATCGAATCATTAATTTTTTAATGTATTATTAGTTTAATAAAATTTTTATTTTATAAATTCCTTAAATTACATGAATCATGAATAAAACAATTTTTTTTTATTTGTCAACGTAAATTTGTGTAGGCAAAACACTCAAATACATGACCGCCGGTAAAGTATTATTATCCATATTATTATTTATTTCCATTCCGTACGACTGCCAAGTTCGAAGTGACGCTATGCGTCCAAATGGAAGTATCGTCAATGGTACCGTATCTGGATACATTTTTATTTCTAAGAAATCTACTAAATGGACGTATCGTCAGTGGGTACCATTAGATTTGGTTGACTATAAGTTAGTTTTTTCGATGTCACATATTGAAAAACTTTGGGGATTCAGTAGTTCAACCCAACGACTCGTCCATAACGACAGTATCTCAAGTTCTTAAGGCACATAAGCGGACAAATTAACTTGAGGTTTAGATTAACATAGGAGAACTTGCTTGTCGTTTCCACTAATAGTTCTCATGAGCAGATACTGAATACACAAAATTGAATCACTTTTACGTATCGAAATCCACTCCATAGCAATACTTGTGGGATAAAACAGGAACAAAAATCCGCCGGCAATCAAATTCCTGTCGAAAACTTGCCGACAGATTGTTACTCCATAAATATATTTAGTCCATGGTTGCTCCTGTGATATCACTTAGACTAATATTTGTTATATAAATATTATATAGAAGTGGATGTTGATACATACAAGTGGTACAAATTTTTTGAATGAATTCTATCGTCCATCGGATTAAGATAATAAAATTAAATAAAAATAAAGATTCTGTCGTTTTCATGTGCACTCGATAAAGCTCTCTGAGTGGTAGAGCCATGCTGCAGCTACATTATGGTTGCAGCACGAATAGGTCGGCTCGACTGGGGAAAGACCACGCTCTCACAGAATACCAGCACTAAATAGCAGCTCAATGCTGTTGTGTTTATTATGGTGAGTGTAGGAAACCGTACTCTTTACTAGAAATGAGGCATTTCGTCTTAGTCCTAAGGGCTGACAATGCACCAAAATTTTGATATAAGATAAATATAGATGTTTATGCGCCACAGCATCCACTTACCATCTGGTGGACTGTGTGCTCGTTTGCCACCCTTATTTTATAAAAACAGCTGTCTTCAAAATTTCCTAATAACATTTCAATGTGATTTCATTACCATATCGTGCAAAATTTTGAAAGACTATATCCACGGTCATTTATAATGCATATATAAAAAAATGATGCATTTCCTTTTCTTCTGAGGTATTTTCATTAAACTTAGTAGATATCTGATATGCGTCAAGCGTCATTATTTTTGTCTTTAAATGTTTATTTTAAAGTTGGTATTTGATCTGTATCGGTTTGACCAACTGATGGAAAACAATCCCACGTCCACCATCGCTATAATAAAAGAATC